TATATGCATAAGTATGTCTAGCCCTTACGACAAGCTTTCTGTATCAGTCTGAGATGGCTGAAAGTTCCTATGGAATGGAAGATGAAGCAGCGTGGAAGAAGGAAGCAGGGAGCAATGTCAGTGAGAACTTGGTAGATGATGATACAAGGAGTTTTGGGGGGAAATGTGAGGTGTAGCTGTGTACTTCACTTACAATAAATGCTGGTGTTGACTCAGGTTCTGAAAGAACTTGAATATGACTATCAACTGTAAAGTGAAAAAGATGAAGCAAGGAGATGGCAGTGACTATTGTCTTAAGCTTTGTCTCAAGATGGTGCTACTGTGTGCTGGAAGAGGACAAGTAGGGGAAAAAAACAGGATAAGAAGAGGAAAAGCTGATGTTGTAGAGATGGAAACCATCTCGAGGATTTTTATCAGGGAGGGATGTAATGGGTCAACAAGCCACAGAAATGCAGTTAAATGCTCTGAGTTAGGTGGCAGCAACTTTTGGGAAATGAAACGCAAGAAGTTAAAAGTAAGGGTGGAGAACATACGTTCTAGTTACTGGACTGGGGTTTGTTACAAAACGAGGGGTAAAACATTGAAAAAATTTGGAGTTGATTCTGGGCCATTCTTCAAGTCAGCTGCAGAGAAGGTGTCACAGAAAACAGGCCAGGATGGAAAGAAATAACCAGTGTGGAGACGGCAGCTGGGGCTTGTGTAGCTCTCTTGTCACCTTGGGTGTTTCATGTAAGGGTATTTTCAAGGAGCTGGTAATGGCTGTGATGTAAAGCTGTTCTCTGCAACTTACACTTTGTAGGATGTATTTTTCTAAAAGATAGCAGTATCAGATGTGGTTCAGGTACATTTTATTGATGGCTGTTAGATCACATAGAGCTCAAAAAAGTGTATTTAAGAGACTGAATTGTGGAACAAACTTTGCATTCCTGAGTACACTTGCCTGTGTTACTCATTGAAACAGTTTTGGGTGTTTTACAGGCTGCAAATATTTGGCAGGTTTGTGAATGTCAGGATAGCGAGGCCCAGCAGCACTTGGAGATGGGTTTAGGGGAGCAGAATGGAAATTAATTTGTCTTTTTCTCAAGTTTTAGTACTTAATAAAATTAACAACAACAAAAAAAATCACACCAAAAAATCCTGAACTGTGACACTTTTTAAATAAACATCTTGGGTTTTTTTCTCCTTCCACTGGCTGAACTATGGGACTCATTGCTGAAGCTGACTGGATTTACACCACTGCTTCTCTGAGGACATTGAAGATGTCTGAGGTCAGTTTCAAAGCTGGTAGCTAGAAAGACACAGACCATTTGTAAAGTTGCCATTTATAAAACCCCTTTGAGAAAGTAATGGGCATCCTTACTAAGTCTCTCTTCTGCACTTAGATAAGCTTCTCTATTTGACTCTAGAGGATGCGCTAGTAGATCATTAGCGAGCTCCTTAAAACTGTGAGAGTAAACATTTTGAGTTAAAATGTTTTGAATTGCCCAAATATAATAACTAGTTTTCTACCTACAATGTCTGATTGATAATAAAGCTAAACTTTTGTAGCCTAAATATCTTTGTCCTTTGTAAAACAGTGGTCACATTTGCTTTCTCTTACTTTATTAAACAATTAGATGAGAGAGAATCTCTCAAAAAGGCTTAACTCTTAGGATGTGCATAGATACCACTTAGCGTTGCATGGCATCTGCAATGCAAGTAATGCCTGATTACTGAGATTCTGGTTCATGGTGACTTGGTTACACCTGTCCTGTCTTCTGTCAAAGGACAAATGCAGCCTGGTGACATTTGACTTCATCTTTACTTGTGGATGTAAACCTAAAACTGCTACCATTACACTTGTCCTTCATTCTGCCCTGCTGCCTTCAAGAGAGAGCTTCTGCTTTCATGAGATTTGCTGCAAGGAGAAAGCTTGGGGATGTGGGGGAGTGGAGTGTTAGCTTCTGATAACCTATAATAAGGAGAGTAATTTGAGAATGTGCTGTTCCCGCACATTGCCATTCCTCTTCCTCTTGTACTGAAAGTCATAAGCATCTGGACAAATGGGAAGCCCTGTTTGCACCCAGAAGGAAGCTGCAAGGGCACAGCCACATGATTGTGGACAGTTCATTTTTCTTTCTCAGGGTTTCATGTTGTCCTGAATCCAGTCAAGATAACGATTCACATTTGTATAAACGCCAGGTATGTCTTTGCGGCCACAGCCTATTCCCCAGCTGATGATTCCAATTAGATACATACGATCATCCTTCATACAGACCAGAGGCCCTCCAGAGTCACCCTACAGAGAAGTAACAGGTTAGTAACAATCTTTGATTGTTTTGTGTTGTTTCCCCCCCCCACTCCCGATGGCTTTAGTGGTGCACTAGTGTCTACAGAACTACCCTATGTGGTATTCTCACAAATTAAGAGCTCTTAGTAATGGCCCTTTTACATAAGCAACTCTTGTGTTCCGGACTCCCTCAATGCTCCTCTCATGGGGAGAGACCCCCAAAAAACCTGACACTAAAGCATCTGACTTTGTATGGTGCTCATTTATGAAATGTAGGTGAGATGTTGATAAGAACAAAACCAATACATTTATTCAGGCTGTAAAGATACAGGGTGTTTTATACTGCTGTGTGTAACAGTAAAGCAAAATTATTAGCTGTTTAGATGAAAAGAATGTGGATTGAATGCATGCCCTCCTTTTCCTCGTGTTACAGCTACTTGTTCTCTATCATCTTCTGGCCTTTATTCTTTTCTCCACTTTTCAGTAGAGTGGCACCCCCTTCCTTTTACAGAACCTCCTGCTGAGTGTTTTGTATGCTCACATAAGAGAAAATATTAGGAAATGCTGCTGAGGTGGAGTTTCCTGCTCAGTTTTGTGGTATTTCCTATATTTGGGGTTTTCAGTCTGTATTGTTCTGGTTTGCTCAGTTAAGTGTGGCCTGCTTTCCCAGATATGAGGGGCAGGGGAAGAAAAAAAGAAAGAAAAGCCTGCAGTTCTGTTTTGTTCAACAAAAGTCTGCTAGAACTTCTATGCAGCCAAATGCAGAACTTCTTCAAACTATTTTCTGAAGTGTTTTGTTTGTTTAGCTTAGACAGACAAGGACAGACCTACAAAGAAAAGAGGAACAGAACTGGGTTTACCTTGCAGGCATCATCAAGGTGTCTTGTGTCTCCTGCACATAACATATTGTCTGTAACTGTCCGGTTGTCTAGATGCCGTGTTGTGCACCGACTGGCTGGAAACAGTCTGACATGGCCTTCCTTCAGGTGCTCTGAATAGAATGGAGAAACTGGAAGAAAAATGACAATATAAATACGTATATATGTCTGTGTATGCATGTATGTATTTTTAAAAAATTGCAGTTCA